GGCGGACTCAGGCTTATGACGTGGCGATTTTTCAAGTCCTAAAACCCAAACAAAACCCTCACTTCAAGTTACTGCCGCTCCAGGCCTTGCCTCCTCTGCATCATTACACACGTACACAAGTGTGGTCAAATTCACTTCCATTTGAATTTCTGAGATTTCCCAAAGTTTTTATATCGTCCATTTCCATTTCTAAGATGCTATCTCGTTGTTTTCGCTCTCTTTCACTTTTTTCACGAAACTTAATTCCCAACACGGTATCGCATTGCATAACCAAACCCCAAAACAACATCCCTTCTCATAGAATCACATCATCTTTTACTTTTGTACCAAATACTGCACCTTTTCTAGGTAACCCTGTTTCTCCTTTATGCTACTCTATATTCTGTTTACCCCAGCGATTCGCTTGGTGATTGATTGTGGTGTGTTGTTTTTCCTACTGAAAAATGGGAAAAACTTGCATTTTCTTCAATGCATTTATTGCCTCAAATATTTGTTAGCAATCAGAAATTTGTTTTGGTTCCTCGTTTACGGCTAGATCATATACACGGGAACTGTACTGTGATAATTTCCTTTGTTTTGTATGGACTATTAATGAGATATTCCAAGTAAGCTTCTTTGTCGATTAAGATTAATTGGTGTTCTTGCAAATCATATTCCAAGGCATAATGAAGTTCAGTAAAACTGCCTTTGTAAGCTTCTTTGTCGATTAAGATTAATTGGTGTTCTTGCAAATCATATTCCAAGGCATAATGAAGTTCAGTAAAACTTCCTTTGAATTAGTTAGAATGACATTTGCGTATATGTTTCTTCATTGCAGTGAGATGTGTTGCAACTATTGTTGATCCAGCTGCTAGGTTTGATGAGATGATCATTGGACCGCAGCCTAAGTATTACTTCCTAGGTGGGAAAGGAGGCGGGGAAAAACAAGCTGTGCTGCTTCCCTTGCTGTAAAATTTGCAGACCATGGCCACCCTACCATTGTCATCTCAACTGATCCTGCTCACTCCTTAAGTGACACTTTTGCCCAGGTATCAAAATATGTTTCTGTTTTTCTTTTTAAACAGAAAATGCTCTACAATGGAAGTTAGTTTATGGGACCCTTCTTCAACAATCTGCTTTGCTCATTATCTCTAGGATTTGGCAGGATGGAATCTTGTTACTATCGATGGACTGAATTCTCCTTTGTTGGCCCTTCAGGTATATATGGTTTAAGGTTGAATTTTTTCACATTAGCTCATCATGTGATGCATATTTTTAAACCTTAGTAATATAACAGATAACTCCAGATAAAGCTAAAGAGGAATTTCAATCTGCAAGTCAAAAGAATGGTGGGAGTGCTGTCAAAGATTTTATGAATAACATGGGCCTTGGGATGCTTGCTGATCAGGTGGATACAAGTCTTGCACACTATCAGTCGATTGCATTACATTTAGAAGCCGTGCCTATCATTCTGTTAAATTACCATTAATAATGGAAGAAGAATCCATTAAAACTTATTTTTTGTCTTTGGCAAACAGAATAATGGTCAAGGAAATGGACTTGTGTCATAGTGCTGATTTGATTTACACTTTTGCTTTTAGTTTCTATTCTAACCAGGATTTTGAGATTGGACTTTGTTTTGGTTCCTGAAGTAGATTAAAGAAAAGAAAAAGTAAAGCCCTTTTGCTTCCTTTAAAGCAATTTGAAGATTACGAACGATATTGAAACATTTGTTAGCTTCCTGGGCAGCATTATGGTCTATTTATAGCCCCCCTGTACCTAGTTCTGATCCATTTTGCCCTTTTTTCCTTAATCTACAGATTTTATTTCAACTTTGTTTAAGATTTGTTCATTGATTGCTGTACCTGACATTTTTTTTGTTACTACTTTATTGTTGGGGGATCTAAAACTAGGAGAGCTATTGGATACCCCTCCGCCAGGTTTAGATGAAGCTATAGCAATTTCCAAGGCATGTACATTATTTGATCCGTTTCTAATTACTTCTAGTTTTTTATTCTTACCTTCATTTGAGACTTTTTTTATCCTAACCCTGCAGCTGCTTTGTAGGTGATGCAATTTGTTGAATCGCCACAGCACAGTATGTTTAGCAGCGGTCAGTGGTCTCTTAATTGCTTTCGATATTTAGCATGCTCAACTGCATTTGAAGTTTGTACATAGCTAGATTTTTTATCGAGTATTTTACAGGGCCATACACTTCGGTTTTTGTCCTTGCCTAACTTCTTGGATGCATCCATTGGGAAAATTATGAAGATATAAATGACACTTTTGCTTGGAAGTTCCAGTACGGTTATTCTCAACTCATTACTATATGGATCCCAATCAGATCAGTTTATCTGTTCACTTTGTTCTAATTTATGTGTAATGTAAAGATCATACATGTAATATAACAAACTTCTGATATATTTTATAAAACCGTCTTTTCATCAGTTCAAAAAGAAAATAGCTTCAGCTACTTCAGCCATCAAATCTGTTCTTGGGAAAGCAGAAGAACGGTAGGATGTGGTAAGCTCAAATGTTTCTTTGGAATGATTTGGTCTGTATTTAAATTCTAACCATGCTTTTCTGGATTACGTAGCCTGAAAAACTACAGCTACTGAGGGAGAGGATGACAAAAGTGTGAGACCTTTTCCGGGATTCCAATACAACTGAGTTTGTTATCGTAACCATACCATCGGTAACACCTTGATTTCACCTTCTTGTCGACATGATGTAACTTTTGATGTCTATCCTACCTTTTCCTGTATCTAGTGATCAATGAAATATTTATAGTTGTGTCTAAGTTGGAATATGGTTAGCAAGACTCCGACTACTATTTGAACTGTAGATCTACTAAAAATGACAGTATTCTCCAAAACACTTGAAAACTACCTCTATGCTGGCTGGTTTATCAAAGCCAAAACCAAGTAGAATGAAGTTTAATTTTAAATGGATCAATGTGTTGTTTGATCTCTAATTGGGTCATTAATGCAGTTAATGCAGTAAATGAGTCATCTAGGCTGCATGCATCTTTGAGGAAAGAATGTGTACCAGTTCACAAGCTTATCGTTAATCAGATTTTACCTCCATCTGTATCCGATTGCAAGTTTTGCACTACGAAAAGGAAGGTAATATATGTTTCTTCCTCTTCTTCAGCTTTGTATGCGAAGTTGTTGGTCCAGTATCATGTGTAAAAGCTGTGCATTTAGTTTAAATCTGTGTGTTTACAGGAGCAAATGCATGCCATTGAGATGATCCGCAATGACCCAGAACTTGCCAACTTGAGGATAATTGAAGCACCTCTAGTTGATTTAGAGATACGAGGTGTTCCAGCTCTTAAGTTTATGGGTGATATCGTTTGGGCATGAATTTATTTACTTATTTATTTATTATTTGTTGCTGTTTACTGCAATACTATATTCAAATTTAATCATCAATTCCAACCTATCGCTTGTTTGTTTAATTATCCAAGTTAATACCATGATGGAAAGCAATAGAAATTCAACAAAAATTTCCAAATATGCCAATTCCCAGGGTTTCTGGTTAGTGTATCAATTCCCCCCATTCGCCATTATAATCATATTAAAAATAAAGTTGAAAGGACTGTATATTTAATATGGCCCATAAAGTTATTGCTTCAAGTATATACTTGGAAGATGCTTTCTCCACAAACCATAAGAATTTCCTTTTAAAGCACACGGAGCTTTCCCTTACTCATTATCAATCGTCTTAGTCCTGTCTCAACTGCAATTTCTCCATATGCTGGTATCAACAGCGTTCGAGGTCGAAGGTGATGACAGCCTCAACGGTGAAGATGAGGATGGAGAGGGGGGGTTTAAGGTTAAGATGTTATCATGATCGTTGAATATTGTAGCTGAATTTCAATCACTTGGGCAACTAAACACTCTTTTGGCAGTTCACTAAGAATGGGGGTTCATTGTGGCTCCAGCGTATCAGCGACAGATTTAACAGCTGAGTTACTTTTTTAACATTCAAAACAAACATTTGCTTGCTTGCTTGCTTTGTATTACTTACGGCTGAAACTCGAGCTTAAGCAATGTAACATTACAACTTTCTTGCTGGGATTATTCTTGTTTTATGTTTGACATACAAAAGCAGAACGTACAAAGTACAAATTTAGCATTGATATTTGAATTTTTTTAAACTCGAAACTCAACTTTTGATCTTAAAACTTGTCATATATAACAAATAATTCATAGGTAAAATCATACTTATTAATATTCCACATTAAAAGTTAATCGTTCACCTATTAAGAGCAAAGTTTAGAACAGCACGAGACACTTAGGTACATATCTGGTTTGGGCATTAGAGAAGACCAGGAAGGCCGTACGGCTGACACCAGTTCTAGCCCAGTAAACGCCGGGCAGCCAATTGCAGACATTTCATGAGATCAAACATCATAAGCAAAACATAAGTATAATCCCCAGTACAAAATTAGAATTATGGAGACTCTAATTGAGAAAAAGTACCAACTCCCCACTCTTTTTGTCATATTTCTAAAACCATTCACGCGAGTTATCCAGGGAAAGTTTGTTTTTCCCTTTCAAATACAAAATTGAATTACAATCAAAGCCGCACACATCATATTCGATTAAAAATTATGGCTATGCTCTAACAAAATGAAAACTATATCTGATATATGCTGATGGTGAGGAGACAGTTGAGAATAATAAACTGTGCCACGAGTTGCAATCATCACAAGGTAAGGTAATAAAAACTCTGCCTTCAATAAACAAGAGAAATGCATTCAACCATAAAATGTTTAACAAGCAACTGAAGTGAAAATTGGTCGTCAACGACTCAAAGCACATGATACTGTTTATATACTACAAAAGCTGCATTGTTCCGAGGATTAGGCTTTTTCATCCACTATATTAGTGCATGAGATGGGTTCAAATGAATCAAATCCAACTGGGGAGATCTGATTCATTTCAAAAGAGTTCAAAATGTGTTACAAAGTTCTCAGCTATCAAATTGGAAGTTATCCATCAAGGACAGTTGGGAAGTTAAGTCACAGATTCAACACATGAAACCAAGTTTTCCTACATTGATTGAATGAAAATCAATAACTACCAACATGGAAGACACCAAACCACTCTAATGATAAATATCAATCAATCATCCCTTGAGTGTGAATTCAACTCGAATATTTCTACCATCCAATACCTTAAAACAACCATTGTATGCAACATCAGATCTCAACCCAACTGCTCATTTATCATAAATAGAAATATATATATATATAGGTCAATACTTAAAATTGAGTTATTGAATTAATTACTTCAAACATACCCGGGAATGCATTTCCTTAAGAGCAGCAATGGCTGAAGCTTCAGAAGTGAAACGCACAAACCCATACCCTCTTGATTTCTCACTCACATGACGGGCAACAACTCGAACTGTTAAAACTCAAACATTTTTAACCTCGCAAAGCACAAAATCACGTCAAAATAAATATCCAGGAAAAATACCTTCAATGATTTCACCGTGTCTTTCAAAAGCATTCTTCAAAACAGTCTCGTTGGTATCATATGAAAGCCCTACAATCAATAGAACTTATCACAAGTCAATAATATAATAGTAAAATTAGAAGAAAGTAGTAAACGTACATTCCCTTCAAATCGGATAATGAGAAAAACACAGAGTAAGAATTTTTTTAGACCTCCAACAAATAATTTGGAGCAAGAATTGCGTGCCCAGAGAGATCCAGCCAATGGGTATTTACAAAAACCACGAACTGTCCCGTTTATACTCTGCATTACTTTATATTATTCAATCTGGTGTACGTTCGCCGACAGCTGACAAATAAGGAGTCAACGACTAAGCCGATCATCACTTTCATTAGGATTTCATTTCATCAAACTGTTGGTCTGCAAACTCTAAAACTTATTTCGTGCACGAGATCATAACACAAATTAAATCGACAAAAAAAAAACGGTAACAAAAAGAATCAGGCCGCTATCGTTTCAATGTTTTATTTTTATTTTGAGAGTAAAGTATAAAAAAATAGTCACGCAACTATTAAGTAACTTGCATTTTGGTCACCTAACTTTTAAAGTTTATAATATAATCATTGAACTTTTAGTTCGTTTTCAGTAAGATCCCCGACATTACCTCCAGTTATTTTTATGTGGCACTTACCATGTTAGCCCACCTTCTCCTCCTCCTCCTCACACACAAAAACGCACCTATAAAACCCCACATCTCTGATGCTTCTCTCCCACCCTGTAGTTCTTGAATCACTTGAATCCCATCATCTTTGTCTCTGTTTTCACCTTCATATTTTTGGGTTTTCTCTTTTTTTCTAGGTATCTATTTTGATGTTTCAACAATGACAGTTCCAGAGTTTGCGAAGGGTTTGGAGCTTCATTTTTTTGGTGATGATCCGTTTGAGAACATGGGTCTTAAGAAAATCAATCTTGAATCACTTGAACAAGTCCTCCATGTCGTCACTACACCAACGTCTTTGTCGTCAACAACTATTTCTTCGATGCTTATGTACTATCATAATTGAGCTTGTTCGTTTATCTAACTAAGATAATCATAAAAACCTGTGGGATCACTCAACTTCTCATATCGATTCGTCTATGTGGTTACTCCATTAATGAAGTCGACGATAATCTTTACTCGAAGATTCACGTTACGCCTGAAGATGACTACAACCAAGCTAGCTTCAAGCGTGTTGGCTCTATTTACGATAAATGCATCGACATCGTCGAGATCTTAAAGAAAGTCGTTCAGGTTTTTAAGTTAGTTACAGTTTCAATTTCCACGACGAGTAACAACCGTGAAGTTTGGACGAAGGTGGCACATGCTATGGGACTGTTGGGACTCAAATGTTAGACTTTAACAATGGATGAGTTCTACGCCACTAATACCGTCGTTTTCTAAATATTCACAGTGATGAATCATTAGACATAACATCGAAAAAACAACAACACCAACGAGAGAGTTAGATAAAAAGAAAAAAATGTGGTAAAGGGGTTTTAGATTAGAGAAGAAAAATAATTAAAGGAGGGAAATATCACATCGGATAAAACTAAAGAGAGGTAACGTTAGGGACTTTATTGAAAATGAACTAAAAATTTAGTGATTTTATTATAAGTTTTAAAAGTTTGATGACTAAAATCCAAGCATCTTAAACGTCTGGGGACTATTTATATACTTTAGCCTTATTTTTATTTTAAGATATTCCAAAGAAACAAGAGCATGGGTGGATCAAAGCATCAATTTGGGATAATTGACCACGAAAAACAAATAAAACAATTTTTAATACTTTTTTCATTGATATGAAGGTGTTTTTACTGAAAAATCAACATAATATTAAAAAATCTCCTCTCAAACACCCTTTCACCAAATATTTTTGATCTAGCATCCTTTTAAAATAAGGCGCATTTCGTGAAACGCGCCTACGTTTACGTGGCACGAAGGCACATTCGGTGGGAAGCGTCTACATCGAATCATCACCCAATCAGCGAAAACAGTAGAAGACGCGCTTGATGGGGCACGCCTTTCCCCCACCCCATCATTCCTACCACATTCTCTCGCCTATTCCACCTCTCATCCCCTATATAAACCCCCTTGGTAGCTCATACAAACCACACCGAAAATTATTTCTTCTTCCCATCTATTACATTCTAGTCTTTAAGGTATATTGTTATTTTTTTATTCAATAAATTTATTATTATTTTATTACATAATTTTTTATTATTTGATTATTTAATTGTAAAATTATTTAATTTATATTTATTATCTGCAGTTAAAAAATGGAAAGCGGGAGGTTGCAATTAGATATTGATCATATTTCGAGTCATTTTGCTGATACGATCAAAATATGAAACTATATTCTTTTTAAATTTTTGAATATTAGAAAATTGATCATATATTATTTAAATTGCTAGAATTTATTTAAATACTTTTTGAAATATTAATTTAAATTTTAATGGTTAGAATTTATTTATTAGGAAACTGATCGAATATTAAAAGTTTTTATTCGTAATAACAAGATAAAAATATCGAGGCGTATCTGGAAGTATTTATCTATGTCTGGACTTGGTTACTTAGAAAAAATTAAAGGAGGTTGTAAACTTGAACTCATCCTTATTTTTGCATTAATCGAGAGGTGGAGGCCAGAGACATGCACACGTTCCATCTGCCATGTGGGAAGTGCACCATTACTCTAGAGGATGTTTCAATGGAGTTGGGGCTCCCAATAAATGGAACTAACAGTTGCGTGAAAAACGTTATACGGATAAGAAAAAAGCATTTGCCTGGGAATACATATTACAAATATTTGGAGGGATATTGATGCCCGATAAGTCTTGGAACCAGGTCCATTATATGTGGTTGCGACATCTCATCGATTTTCAAGTAGCCTACACGTTGAGTTGGGGCTCTGCAGTGTTGCCATTTTTGTTTAGAGAAATGTGTCGAGCCACGAAATATAGTAAAATTGGCGGTCATCTCATGCTTCTCCAGCCGTGGGCATAGTATCACATGTTTTTTTTTGTCCGATCGTGAATCAATATTTTGTCTTTCCATTATTATCAAGGTAATTTTAATGCTTGTTTATAATATATATATATATATATATATATATATATATATATATATATATATATATATATATATATATATATATATATATATATATATATATATATATATATATATATATATATATATATATATATATATATTAAATAAGTGGTTAACAAATAAAAATATCATTGTGATATCCTATAAGAATTAGAAGATATATAATTACTCATTGACCAGAAAGTTGGTGTAGAGGTATGTTTTTAATTTTAATTCTTTCATTTAATTGTCTTTATATAATTTGAATCTCATTTAAAGTTTGATAAGAATTTTTTTTTTTGGTTTTAGTTAAAATGGTTGCCCTATTTGAACGACGAAATGAGGGCTTACATCCCACCTGACTTGAGTGGGCAATTGGATGTATGGGTGGCTGTTGTGCCACTTATTTGTTATGCTATTTTTGAGTGGCATCCAACTGACTGTGCGTTTCATCATTTTGATTTCACACAATATATTCCTGAAGCACCAATAAATCTCGACAATATGCATAACATCAATAGATGAGAAAAATGAGGTTAATTGGTTGGTGAAGCATAGAGATTGGTTAGTGATGTGTGATAATCGAAATTAACGCTTTTCATCTCAAGAGTATATGTTAGAAACTGGTATCTGGTTTCAGATGGCTATATTGAATGGTTCAATGCAAACGGGAAGTCATTCTTACTTTCAGAGGAAGCACGAGGGGGAATTCATTGTCATCGAGAAAGATGTCCAAAGTCACAACATCATCGTCCCCCCACTCATAGACGAAGAGCATGCACATCCAGGTCATCCTCAGCTATGCCACTGGAACCATCAGAGCAGCAACCATCGATACTTGTTTACATCCCTAGCCCACTGGTTCAGATGCCACCGCCCTATTTTCAGATGCCATCTGTTTACATAAATTGAAACATTATAAAATAGAATTACATGAGTAGTGGTAATCGATTACGTGATGATAAAAGAGATGGACAATTTCTCATATTGTGACCTAGGTTTCTGCAATGCCCATATCTTTTGTGTTCTTTTGACGCCTCTCGAATATCCATATCACAATGAATTTGAGTGGATTTTGGACGACTTGTATCCCTTAATAAGTATGGACCTAGTATAATTGGAGGCCAAGTTTGAACCTCATTTAGGTTTTTTTTCATTGCTTATGGGGGGAAACTCATATTCATATACCTTGATACTTCTGAAACTTGGTATACGAGATCCACATATCGCTTATAATCTTGATGAGAATGTGAGCAGACTGCTATGGCATGGGAGTATGGATACTTCAGAGATTGAAAACCCATAGTCACACCACCACTCTCATAGATTAACTCTGAAAGAGTTAGATTTAATCCCTTGAAGAGGTCGTTGCAATTATGTGACACAAAATAATTCTTGGGTGCGAGAAAAGCTTATCACCAACATTCTGTTTGATGATGTAACTTTTTGTTGTAGATTTGTTACTAATATTTGGGTGATAAACATAACCATTTTCCATCCAAGTAAGAGCTTGTCCCCCCGAACTTCGCCAAAAGCTGACCTAAACGAAAATACGCCATTTTGTCTAAAACAATTACTGGTAAATGACGTGCCCCATTTAAGGTTGAATTGATAGCCTCAGCCAAGTTGGTTGCTATATATTCATATCGATATCCACCATCGTATGCATTTGTCCACTTTTATTTATTGATTTTACTGATATAATTGTATCAATGATCATTTTTTTCCTCGCAATTCTTGAAGCATATCCTCGAACCTTTAAGGTAAGAGTTCGTAACCTAAGTTTCCATATATAGTAGTCAGTATGATATAAAAATAGATAAGATGAAAATGATTAAGAAACAAAATTGGAAAAAGTAACATACTCGTGCGTAATTAATTGGCATTCACCATTCTTCTTGTATTTTTCGTGGTAATTTGCAGCAATATGTCATATACAAAGACAATGTTGGATGTGTGGGGGTTTCCACATTGGACCCAAAGAGTCCATTGCTACTTTGATCCTAACTCCTTGGTCTGAAATGACACAAGTATGTTCCCTCGTGACAACATGTAACCATAGATTTCTTAGGAAAAAAGCCCAAGACTTTGTATCTTCTCCTTCAACAAAGGCAACGGGAAGAATGTTACGATTACCATATTGGACAACTGTCAATAATAAAATGTTGAACCATGCTTTGAGATTTTGATATACCAAAATAAGTTTAAAGAAATTTTAAGATTAATTTTAATATGATTTTCAAGTTTATATTCGATTCAACCATTCGAATATAAATATTCCTTGTAAAATCAAATACTATATTTTTACTCCTTACTATTTTTGAAAAATTCAA